CACCCCTACCTCACCCTGTTCCTCCCAGCCATGCCCCCCAGCCTCACTCTCTTCCACCCAGCCACCCCCTACCCTGTTTGCGAATTCTCCTCTTGGCAGCTTCCAGGACAGTCCCCACTCCTAACTCAGGTTCTGCACACGTGCTGAATTACCTGCTGATTCTGCCGGCAGCCCAGTGAGGAGGCCTGTCCGGCCCACACTGTAGGTGAGGACCCTGGTCTAGAAACTCCCGCCACCCTTGGAGACGTTTTTAGTTGGCCATACTCCTGTCACCAGGCCAGCGTGGTCAGCGGTCTTGCTTTGTTTCTTGGTGACTTTCTAAGAGCCTGAGTCACAGGTACACACAGTACTGCCTGCTCTGGTGACATGGCAGGCTCCCAGATGTGACGGTGTGTCTTCTGCCTCCTTCCATGATATCATGGGGGAGACCCCGCCCTAGCCCGACCCCCGTCTCCCTGTAGACTGGGTCTCCTGGCACAGGAGCTGACATGACCCATCGCCCAGCTGTCTGCCGGGCCAACTGCAGCGGCTAACCAGGAAAACTGTTGTGTTTCCTGCAGGTCCTGGCAATCAGTCACTTTTGAAAGACAGCCTGCCTCCTTCATCCGAATCGTTGGAACACACAACACAGCAAATGAGGTAAGGGCGCTCTCCTGAGAAGGGCAATGGCATCTGTGATAGCCAGGTAACCCGCACCCTGGCTAAGTGGAGCTGACTACCCTACCTGGTAATGGCCGCTGTTACCGCAGCTCATTGTAAAGGAAGTCCCCACCCTTATTTAGGGGGGATGCCATCTTCAGGGCTCTGCTCGCTGGCAAGAGAAAGTCAGCTTGGATTCTTCCACCAGCCTGGGCAGAAACAGCCTGCGAGACCCTGAGAAATGAGGTGCCCTTCTCTCCTCACATGGCAGTGCCCTGCGCAGCATCCAGGTGGTGTCTAGCTGGTCACCGCTCCATGTTAGCGTGTACCTCTGAGAGTGCGACAGGAAGCCTGGGAGTAGAGGGGTCGCATTGCTCTGCATCACTCGTGTCGTTCTCTCTCCCCGCGCTGGTTCACGGGTGCCCCCCAGAGCAGTCGTGGTGCCCCTATGCTTGGGGTGTACAGTGTGCTCTAGGCTCCTTCTGGAAGTGTTCTGTGTTCTCGCTGTCGGCATTAGAGCCCACACCAGTGGGTCTAACATGCTGGCTTCCTGCCCTTTTCTTCTCAAGAGGGTGGCTTGTGAGTCTGAGTGCAGGTTCTGGGATAGGGTTCTGGAGAATGCAAGGGTTGTACTAGCCACAGGACGTCCCTACATGTGACGGAGAAACACGTTAGATAGCAAACTGAAGAGCATGGCGGTAGGAGAGACATGCTGGGGAGCGCGTGTTCCTCTGCTCCTTAAACACACACACCACACTGTCACTTTGTCCCTGACCTACACACTGTAGAGCTGGCCCAGTGAGCCAGCTAGAAAATATCTAGGTGTGTCTAGTGCTCCAAGAAGTTTCAAAAGTGGAAATAGCACTGTAGTTTCAATCCATGTGCCCTTTCACTTACTTAGGATAATAATAATCCACACCCACAGTGTGTTTCCTACAGAGAGCAGCTTGTAAATAGAGCCCCAAACGTCTTCTCCTTCTTCAAAACTAACTTGAGAATTTTAGAATAGTAATCAGCTGATACTTTTATGGCTGTCTAAGCTTTGAGTCATAAGCGGGTATGGTGGCCAACTCCCGAAACCCTGCCACTCAGGAGGTCAGGGCCGGAGGACAGTTCTGAGTGCAAGGCTAGGCTGGGGACCAGGTTGTAATAGCAGAACCATCCTTACAACGGAATAAGTAGATAAGTAGCTACCAGGTCATAAGGTCACTTGTCTTTCCTTTTTGTGTTATATCAAAAACAAATTTGAATTTGCATTTAATGTTTTGTTTTTAAATGAATAGTCTTAAAATAAGTTCCAATTGTTCTTTTTGAAATTTATCATATTTTAATTATGTGTATAAGTGTGCATGTGGGTACCTTCAGCTTCTAATAACTGGTGTTAGAGCAGTTGTGAGCTGCCTGATGTGGGTGCTGGGAAGAGCGGGATGTGCTTTTAACCAGTGATCCATCTATGCAGATCTGAGTTCTAATATTTCTTCTCACCTACACTTTACATGTATGTTACTCCTGAATTAAAAAAATAGCGTAGCTTTATCTATACAAATAACAAAACTAAAATATTTTCTATTTAAAGTTTTTCTAATACAGTAAGTCCCCCCCCCCAGGAAGTCTAGTCTTCTGCTTAAATGCCCAGATGGAACTCCAGAATGCTGTGCTCCACGAAGGGCTTCTCAGGTCAGGAGGGAGGCCGCACTCGGCAAAAGCAAGGGGACAACCTTGGACACTGGGTTTCAGTGCAGCTCCTTCTGGAGCCCCGCCTCCCGCCACAGCTGTACAGCGGGCTGCAGGGCTCTCCTGAGGGTGTTTCCTCTGGGTCTCTGGTGCATCATCTGGTGGGGCCTGGACAGAGTGTCGGTGGGCCTAGCTAGAGGGCAGCCTGACATGGTCATCTGCCTCATTTGGCTGGTGAGTAACTTCCCTAGCTGTCTTCCAGAGTCAGTTATTGATTGGGAAAATAAAGCCTCAACATAGTGTTGTCAATTGGAAAACATCGTAAATCATAAAATGCATGATGAACAGGGCTTCAGATAGAATCCATAAACTGTCATTCTCTAGGTCCCTGAAGGAGCAAGCAGGTGCATCTCCCTGGGCGTGGAGGATGTGGCAGATTCCCCGGGAGAGCGTTCCTCGCTGTCCCCGCTGGGTTTTGTATATGCTCTGGAAAAGGGATGTGACTGTGGCCTGTGAGGGGAGAGGAGAATGACTCAGGGCTGACTAGGCAGAACACCTGGGGACAGCTCTAAGGAAGAATGCTGTGGCCAGGCAGGAGTGTCCGGCTGATGCGTGGGGCACAGCGGGGAAAGGAAGCTAGGTGTCAGTGTCCAGAACGCCATTCTGTCGGCCCGGGGGAGCCAGCAGCATGCTGGGTAAGAAGAATACCCTTATTCATAAATAGGGGTAAGGAGAAGCAGGGTTTCCTCAGCCTGCCCCTGCTCGGCCGCCAGGTGACTTCAGTGGCAATGGTGGCTTGCATTGCAGGGCAGAGCCTGTCTGCTATATGGCTAACGTGATAGATACTTGTTTCTCGTGGCTCAGGAGGCTGGCTACGTGTTTCATGCCAGGGTGCACACAGTGCTGCTGGAGGAGCTGGCTCACCCGTCTGCCTTTACAAGGCCTTTCTTGGAACACATACCTAGAAAGGGAGTTGGTGAGTCAGGGTCCCTCTCTCTTCCTGTGAGGACACTAGCCACAGGCTTCTAAATCTAGTGGCCCTCAATGGCCCTGCCTCCTAAGGCTGTACTGTGGGGGCGGGGCCAGGGTCTCACCATAATGAACCTAGGGACCTCAGATGTTCGGTTCTTCCTGTGGCCTTCATTATAGGACAGCACTTGCTTCCTTCAGCTGAGTGCTTGTACCACAGACCTGTGCTGATGCTGCTGGTGTCAAGTTGCACAGGAGAACCTGGGTTCTAATTTTCGTTTGTTTATTCATTGGTCACAAAATACACAGTTGTGTACATAAAAGAAAGAGGAACAGGAGCTGCCTTGCTGGGGACGCCTTCAGAGAAGGCATGCAGAGTAGGGGCTGTGGAAGCCCATGCAGGGCCTCCTGAAACTAGAAGGTCATTCATGGGGACTAGGTGTCCTGTCAGTGTGCATGTGGCTGGAGAAGCTGCTTGTTTGGAGCCCCTGCGAGGTCTCTGCAGCCTGGAGCCCATGAGTCGACAGCTTTGCAGTTCTGTGGTGAGTTCTGGCTTGACCTCGGACCTGCAGCTGGCTTAGGATAGCAGGGGCAGATACCAGCAGGGCTGGAAGAGGCTTCCAGGTGCAGGCAGATTGGGGTTCTGTGTCTGGCCAGGTCCTCCTGTGTCCAAAGGCTCAGCATGTGTCTGCTGTGGTGATGTCCCTCTTCCCTCAGATGTAGGTGGCTCCCAGCAATGGCAGCCTCCCAGTCCATGGAGGCCAGCTCTTGGTAGCTTGTTTGAGCTCTTCTGATTTCCCCCAGCCTTCCCCCTGGCACCAGCAAGTGCACCTCCTCCCCGATGGATCCAGTGCTTACTGCCCACAGATTTGGCAGACAACACAGCACGTCCCATCCATGCTGGGTGTGCATCATAGTGCTCTGAAGGACACCGAGGACTCCATGGAGTAGGACCCCCTTACATACGCCCACAACAGGAGAGACACACAAGTGATAAGACTGCTGAGGACAAAGGCCAGGGGACAGCTGTACCTCAGCCGAACAAAGTTCCTGGGCTTAGAAGGCTTGAGTCAGGCTGTGGCTCGGTGCGTATAATTCTCACCCAACTGTATATATGTATAAATGTATGTTTATATATGTTTATAAATATATGTATACATATATAACTGTATATATGTATGTGGAGAGCATCTGGTCAGACTGGCTCTCGACTGCTGTGTATCCCAGGAAATGGTAACAGATGCTGAGGGGCCAGAGCGGGCTCTACTCCACCCTGGCCCGTAGCTTAGGTCCGTGCATACACTCTGATGGGCTTGCCTTGAGCACTACATCCGCTAGGGCTAGAGAGAAACTGAGGCAGAGCGCGGGGACTGCAGCCTCTCTGCCTGGCAGTGTCCCCTTTGAAGAGCCTGTGCCTCCAGTGACATTTGTATCTGCTCATGTTGAAATGGTGGACAGAGGTAGAGGGGCAGCTGAGATGGCCCTGATGTGGGTGTGTGCAGGGCTGGTAGAAGGGCAAGGTCCTCTCTCTGTATGAAACAGTGGCCATGGAGCATATGGAGGAAGGGCTTGCAGATCGGTCCACACCTCTGCCATGTGCCGGGAACCGTAACCAGCTGTGAGCTTGCTGCAGAGGGCCCCACAGACCAGCAGCAGGGCAGGGTCTGCATGTGGCTGCTTGAGCTGCCTTCCATGCTGAGGTCGGCTTCACTCACAGGCTCCATCAGACCACTGAGTGACTCTGGGATCCTAGTGCCACCTCGTTCCCATAGCAACATGTGGCTTTAGTGGGAAAATAAAGCCAGGAAAACAGACTGGGAAAACTAAATAAATGTTCCTTCCTGGCCTGGGGTAATTATTTTCCAGTCCCCTCTAGGGTGTGCCCTGACCCATGAAGGACTCTTCTGCCACGTTCTCCCCAGAGACATCATCTAGGTGCAGAAGATGCCTCAAGCGGCATCCTGCTCAGAAGTCCCAGAGCAGGGGCAGGCATGCAGCAAGCAGCAGGTGGAGACAGACTGAGAGCAGTAGAGAGGAGAGTCCCACCCTGCACAAGACAGCCCCAGCTTGTAGGCCCTTCTGCTCCTGGGGAGAGCCTGCCCCCCTCCCCCCGGGGTGTTGTGTCTCAGTGGCCAGAGAAAGCTGCACACCGCAGGAGCTGACCCTGGCACACAGAGGTTTCATGTGGCATCATGGACAAGGAAGGTACTGTGGGCCAGGATACAGTGCTGGGCCAGAGAGACAGTGTGTAGGGGCAGCAGTGGCCTGGATCCCTGGACGGGTTCAATGGACAGTCCCAGCAGGAGGGTTTGACCCAGTGTCCAGTGCACCATAGCTCTTGAGAGTAATGTGTGTGA